ACTCTTTAATCCACATTTGTACCTCACACCTGGATTAGTTCTACAGTGTCTGAGCTGGTCTCAATGATTTCATTTTTTTCTTTTAGTTAATATAACACTCATTTCCAATAATCCTGAAGAAGAAAACTGTTTTTGTCATATCTATTTCTTCAAGACACAAAGTAATTTGGTATTTCTTACTGTTTCAAACTCAAATTCCTGGCCTACTTACACAATATTCCAATTAACTTATCTCCTAAGTACACTGTGTGTATTTCTGATTGGGCTAGGCTTTTCCTCTCTATCCCTCTTCCTTGGTATCACACACACACACACACACACATACACACACCCCCACACACTCACGTCACAATACTTTCAAACTTGTTTTTTTTTAATCTCATAATATTTCTTCCCACATGGATTACTCTTCTTTCCTTTTCTTTTATCCATCCAAATTCTATTCAGTTTTTAAGATTTACTCCAATTCTCTTTTCCTTCAGTGATTATTTCAGCATACAACCCTCTCTTTCTTCTGAAGATCTTATCACACTTGTGAGATAATAGAAAATATATATATATATATAGTGCTCTATGTCCCCAGTTCCTGGCTCGGAGCTGCTAAACCTTTGTAATTTCCTAAGTGATAAGAGCTCTAGGAGCATCTTCTGTTCTACTGAGGTGACTGGGCAGACTCCTGGAGGGCTCCTGGATGGGGGCTGGTCACCAGAAAGACCAGGCCATGATTAGAAGCTTGCAACTTTCAGCCTTAACCCTCATCCTCCAGAAGGGGAGAGGAGCTGGAAACAGAGTGAATAATTGATCACGCCTATGTGAGGAGGCCTTCATAAAATCCCAATTGTAGGGGGTTTGGAGAGCTTCCAAGTTGGTGAACACATCCACCTTGGGAAGGTGATGCACCATAACTCCACAAGGGCAGAAACCCCTGTGTTCAGGACCCTATCAGACCTTGCCCTATATATCTCTTCATCTGATTGTTTATCTGTATCCTTTATAATATCTTTTAATAAATTGGTAAAGGTATGCTGCCTCTATAATCAATAAACAAGTCATGAGGATGTAATATACAGTATGGTGACTATAGTTAGCAGTACTATATTGAATATTTTAAAGTTGCTAAAAGTAGATCTTAACAGTTTTCAACATAAGAAAAGAAGTTGTAACTATGAGTGGTGATGGATGTTAACCAGGCTTATTGTGGTGATCGTTTCACAATATACACAAATATCTAATCGTTATGTTGTACGTCTGAAACTAATGCAATGTTATATGGAAATTGCACTCAATAAAAAAATTCCTACAGCTCTAAGGGATTTGGCTTTATCTTGAAGTCAGGTGATATAAAGTTATTGTAAGATTAATAATTGGATTATCTTTGTTCCTGGGAGGTGTCTCAGAACAATCTATGTGAGGGGAAAATAATTACAAGGTATAAATAAAGTAGCTTAGCTCCTTGACATTAGTCTTGGCACTGACTTTTTTGGATTTAGCACCAAGAGCAAAGGCAACAAAAGCAAAAATAAACAAGTATGACTATATCAAAGTAAAAAGCTTCTGCACAGAAAGGAAATCATGAACAAAATGAATAGGCAACATACAGAATGAGAGGAGATATTTGCAAATCATATATCTGATAAGTAGCTAACCTGAAAAATGTATAAAGAACTACTACAACTCAATAGCAAACAAGCTGAACAATCCAATTAAAATATGGCCAGAGGAACTGAATAGATATTTTTCCAAACAAGACATACGAATGGCTAACAAGTATAAGAAAATGTGCTTAACATCACTAATCATCAGGGAAATGAAAATTAAAACCACAATGAGATTTCATCTCACACCTGTTAGAATAGCTACTATTAAAAAGACAAGAGGTAATACGCTTTGGCAAGGATGTAGGGAAAAGGAAACCCTTGTGCACTGTTGGTGGGAAAGTAAATTTCTTCAGCCACTATGGAAAACACTATGAAGATTCTTCAAGAAGTTAAAAATCAAACTACCATATCATCCAGCAATTCCATTCCTGAGTATATATCCAAAGGAAATGAAACCACTATCTCAAAGAGATATTTGCACCCTTATGTTCATTGCAGCATTATTTACATTAGCCAAGACATGGAAGCAATCTAAGTGTTGACAGATGAGCGGATAAAGAAAATATATATACATATACAGTGGAATATTATCCAGCCATAAAAGAGGAAATCCTGCCATTAGTGACAACATGGATGGACATTGAAGGCATCATGCTAAGCGAAATAAGTCTGACAGAGAAAAACAAACACTGTATGATCTCACTTATGTGTGGAATCTCAAAAAACCGAATTTATAGAAACAGAGAACAGATTGGTGTTGCCAGAGGCAGGGGTTGGAGGATGGGGAAATGAGTGAAGCAGGTCAGAGTTACAAACTTCCAGTTATAAGATAAATAAGTTCTTGGGATGCAATATATAACATGGTGACTATAGTTAACCATACTGTATTGTATATTTGAAAGTTTCTGAGAGAGTAGATCTTAAAAGTTCTCATCTCAAGAAAAAAAATCCATAACCATATGACATAACAGATGTTAACTAAGCTTATTGTGGTAAACAATTCACAATATATACTTATAGCAAATAATTATTTGTAGACCTTAAACTAATGTAATGATATACATCAATGATATCTCAATAAAACCAGAAAACATAAAAATAAAAAAATAAACAGTTAAACATAAGTAAGAGTTTCCCTCAGTTCTGTGAGCCATTCTAGCAAATTAATTGAACCCAAGTAAGGGGTTGTGGGAACTCCTGATTTGTAGCCAAGTCAGACAGAAGTTGTGGGTAACCTGGGGACCTACTGCTTATACTTGGTAGCAGAAGTGGGGTGGGAGCAGTCTTGTGGGACTGAGCCCCTAGCCTGTGGAATGTGGCACTATCTTAAGGCAGATAGTGTGAGAATTGAGTTAGATTGTAGGACACCTACCTGGTACTGCAGAGACTTGCTTGGTGTGGGGAAAAACCCCAGACACGTTTGGTGACTAGACGTGTCAGAAGGGAAGTGTTCTGTGTGAGTGTGGTAGTAGTGTGAGAGTAAAAGAGACACACAGGTTAGAAAGACACAGTTGGGAAAAACTAAGTTTTTCCTTTAAAAAACCACTATCCAGTACTGTATACTTTGGTCTCTTATTGTCCAATGGTTGGTTTATTCCTAGATTTCTTTTCCAACAATGTATAATTCTTTGAGGAAAGTCGTGAAAAACTTCCTTAAATTCCTTATATATTCTCTACAGTCCTTAGAATTGAGCTACCAGACAGGTAAAAGGAAATGTCACCTCACGAGGTAAAGTCAGAGTCTTGTTCCCTTTCTACATGAAATTATGAAACAAATTACTAGTTGTTCAGTGCCCCTTCCTTTTTTCATCCTTTTTTCCTTCCCTGGTACCTCTTTGTCTTGGCATAACCTCCCAATATTGCCTTACTGGCTTCATTATTTTTTCTACTAAAATCTATCTGCTACACAAAAAAGTGAAAACTTTTGGTACACACAATATGATGGGTAAATCTCAAAATAAGGATTCTTCATTAATAAAATATTTGTATGATTTCATTTAAACAAAATTCTAGAAAATTCAAAGCTAACTGCAGGGACAAAAGGAAGAGAAGTGGTTTCTTAGAGCAAGGCTGTTGGGGCAGAGAGGGGAATGAGGAAGGACTTAAAAGGATTTAAAGTGACTTTTGGTGTTAATAGATACGTTCATTGTCTTGATTGTGATGACATGACTGATGATGCTGTTTTTAAAAAGTCCCGTGCTAACCAAGCAAGAAGCAAACAGTCAATGGGCATAATTATTCAGTAAATTCTAGGTCCCGGTTACTACATATCACCACGGTCTCCTCTCCAATCTTTTTCAAAAAGCAATACAAATTTTCTCATTTGTCCTCATCACTTACCTCTTGAATTGCTTTTGTTAGCCAGAACAAAGATAACTCTAGATTTATGATGATTTTTGTCCCAAAAAAACCTCCAATCTAATTCCTGAGTGTTGATGCTATTTTCAAGAGGAGGAGAACTTTTATAGAGAAAGATTTTCCAACACAGGCTCTCTCTCCATCGTCACTCCAATCAGAGAATTTCAGATATAGCAGACTAAGCTTATACAGTCTTATTTAAGTAATGTATACAATCTGTATTTTGTGCCTGGGTGTATTCGCAGGGTTTGGAACTGAACTTGACACGTAACACAAATTCTATTAGTAGCTGTTCATTGTTGAATGAACGAGGTCTAAGTCTTCAGAGGTTGGCAGCCTTGTGTTTTGCCTTAGTGAGCAGCCACTGTCTAGTACAGTATTCTCCAGTAAGTTAGTCACTAGCCACTTGGGTCATTTAAATTTTAAATTCATTCAAATTAAATATTATTAAAAATTTAGTTTCTCAGTCACATTAGCTCCATTGCATGTGCTCGATAGTTATACGTGGATAGTGCTACCATACTTGAAAGTACATATACATAATATTCATCAGGGAAGAAAGTTCTATTGGCCAGTCCTGGGTACAAAGTCCTGAACACAGAGGTCATTCCTTAAATGCTTGATTCAGAAAAATAAGGAGAAGAAATGGGAGTCATGGGAAAATATGAGGCAGAAACGAGATGGAGTGATGAAGACAGAGAAAAATAATCACTTTTTAAAAACCTGATATCCCTATTCATTTACATTATAATAGAAATTTATTAAAATTAAAAAAAGAGTCTTCTTACCTGAATGATATTGCCAGTCATGCTGTAGAGGTAACCTGGAATCCAAACCCGTGAAACCTGGGCCACCGAAGCAGAATGTGCGACCTTAACCGCTGTGACACCAGGCTGGCCCTGACATTTTGTTCATTTTTGTGTACAAATTTTTCAAAATACCTGGCTACCTTGTTCATTGGGATTTTATACATCCTCGTTCTCTCAGAATATACCCAGATATCAACATATTTTCCATTCTCTACCCTGTAGTCATTGAACTTACCAGAACTCTCTTTCCACAGACAGGGATATAAATCTGAGTTATTGAATATTCCAGCTAAGGAAGCAGAAATACAACCAACTATTACAGAGGTCCAAGAAAGATGGAGAGGCATGGTGGCAAAGCTAGAGGTTGAGATAATGGCAAGGCTTTTATTGGGAAATTGAGGAGGGAGTCAAGGTATTTTTTATGTCCTAGCCAATCAGAGCTTTGCATTCCTTTTCCTAGTGATAACAGGGTGGGGATGGGAATGCCTTACCAATGAAACTAGGGTGCCTCCTTTGCAATATAAGGTTGCCAATGTGGGATTTTACTCACATGATGTGATACAAATTTATTATTAGATTTATTATAAGGCTACACGAGTAAACATTTTTAAGAACTTTAAACATGTTTAATCATGTATCAACACTCTTGTAGCCAGTGCTTAATATTGCCTATCCAGAAATTTGAGTGTGTGAGTGTGTGTGTGTGTGTATAAGAGACAGAGAGAAAGAGAGTCATTTTTCTTTATTTATAAATTCTCTATTTACTCTATGGGAAGTTTTCAGAAGTCAATTTGTTTACTTCTCCTCAAAGGACTTGAAAATTAGAACTGCATTGGAATGAAATGAACTTCAGTGGAATGGAATGAACACCATCAGAATACAATGGATTGCTATAAAAGGCCAAGGTTCCAACCACTAGCATGATTCAAATGGAAGCTATGCAATCATTAATTGGAGCTTATTGTAGAAGACATTTTTACACTGATCAAATATTGTGCTAGATTTTTTACATATTTGGATTTTTTTCTGGACTTTATCTTCTATTTTATTGCTTGGTCTGTTATTTCCTAATACTACATTGCTGTAAATAATGAGGTTTTATAATATGTTTTAATATATGTCATAACATCCCTCTCATTTTTCTTCATCTTCAGAGATTTTCCTTTCCTGTTTATTTTTCCAGACAAAATATAGAATCTGCTAAAAAAGTTAGACTTCTAAAAAAAATCCAATCAGCATTTTTCTTGGGATTCTATTACATTTCAGATAATCTTTGGAATGTTAAAATTTTGATGATGTTGTGTCTTCCAACCAGGAGCTTGAAATGCTTTTCAATTCATTCATATATTCTTCTCTTTTGGAATTCCCATAAACAACGTATAAAATAGCAGTTCAAAAGTAAATTAAGATACATTTTCAGTAAAATTAAAGTATCATGCGTCAACACCAAAAGCACCAACACTGCATATATGTGTAGTAATTACTTAAGGTCCTAAGGAAATAAATTAGAATTTCTAAAGTAATCTTCAGAAGAATAATTTAAAATGATTCACAATTATCAGACTGACTGTGGAATAGATGTCTAGTTACCTGTCCCAATGTTGAGTCAGAGGGTCCAAACCTTAGCAGAAATCACCTCCCCACCTCAAATGATAGAGGCCTCCCTACTCAGTGGTATCTCTACCCATAGTGATATTGGCCTTTCCACGTCCATCTGCATAGCCTGAGGAAATGGGAATGGCTCTCCTGAAGCAGTTGTCATGCAAGACAAAAGCTCATTCTACGCAAGGATCCAGCTCATCACCTTGTTTGCTTCTACAACTATAACTCAATTCAAGTTCCAGCAGGCCTCTAATGGTGAGGCACAAAGTGTGTGACCCATGAGAAGTTACATTATACTCCAAAAGAATGACTTGAGTTTGCTAATTTATACAAGGAGAAATATGGGGGAATACATGTGGGGATGGGTATTAAGAGTGTGGGACAATTGTGGAAAGAATAAAAAGTTGGGTCAGGCCAAAATTATTGATATGGGCTCACTAAGCAGAAATTCTACATTTAAGGTTCCAGCTCAGGAGTTGCAAAGGGTTCTAACAGTTTGCTAGTTTGGTTGGTTGGCTGGAACATGAATCAAATATGGCCTTTGTTGGGGCAGAGAAAATCCTCTTTCTTCCCTTGTGTTCTTTTGGCGGGACTAATAATAAAATTGATGCAAAACCAGATTAACAGGAGAAAAAGCCCAGTTTAAAATGTACATATTGAAAATCATAAAGAAATGATACTCAGAGAGTGAACAAAGCAGGCAGTATAAACTTCTTTTACACAAATATACATAAACTTGTGAGGAATTGACAGGACAAAGAACTTAGGTTTGGGGTACATAAATAGTGAGGAACTTAAGCAGAGTTTAGATTTGAGGTAGTAAATTGGCAGTTTGTTTATGTAAGCTTCTTGGCCCTGAATTTCCTTGCTCTGGTGATAAGGATGCAGGGAGAGCACGGTTCACATAGGAGATTCATTTCCTGCTTTCAGGAGGACCAGAGACAGGAGGGTCAGAATCCTCTTTTTGCTTCTCAAGTAACTTTAACTCAAAATAACCAATATGCTATTGTGGGACATTTTGGAGTAGTCTTCCCCGGGGCCCAACAGTTCCCTCCTCTAAAACTTCTATGGAAGTTTCACATATTAAAAGTTGAGTTGGGGAGCTGGCCCAGCAACATAGCAGTTAAGTTCACATACTCCACTTTGGTGGCCGAGAGTTCACAGGTTCAGATCCCAGGCATGGACATACGCACCTCTCATCAAGCCATGGTGTGGTGGCATCCCACATACGAAATAAAGGAAGATTGGCATAAATGTTAGCTCAGTGACAGTCTTCCTCAAGCAAAAAGAGGAATATTGGCTGACAGATGTTAGCTCAGGGACAATCTTCCTCACCAAAAAAAGTTTTAAAAAGTTGAATTGGTAGGTTGTTTTATTATTTCACTGAATTAATCTCTTAGTCTGGAAAATAAATCAGTTCAGTTAAACAGTTGTGCCTCATTTCAGGAGGCAGTGATGCAGATGGGCTTCCAAAGTTAGGTCTGTGGTGCAAGCAATTAGGCATTAAATAAAAGGCATTTCTATGGAAACAAAGAAAAATAATGGTTAACGGCTGTAGCAAATTATAAACAAGCTCCTGAGCCTAGCGGGCATCCAGTCAAGAAGATTCTAGACGTCAAGGTTGAAGCATTTTTTTTCTGGTTTGAAACATCTCTGGTGATGTCATTGGGCGTTCAGGCAAACTTCTTGAGTGGCTTACTCAGCAACAGGCAGAAAAATTGCCTATACACGGGCTGTTGTGGAAATCTCTCTTAATTTTATATCAGGTCGTTCAGCTTCAGTTTGAAGGGCTTCAGGGAAAAGGACAGCTTTAATTCCAAATTATTCCCAGTAAAAAGGGGAAGAAAAATTGGAAACACTTGTTAGGAGAGTTCTAGCCAAATATTTGAGGAAATTAGAAGAATTTAGGATCCAGTCTAGTTTTTAGGTAAATCACAAACTTCAAGAAAAATTAATAGCACTAGAATTTAATATTCACAAGTGCGTATTTTTGTTTCTATGGAAACGTGATTTCTCTCTAAAATAACACTTATTTTATCGGAGATAGATAAGACTAATTTGTTTGTAAAATAAGCCTATTTTCATAAAAATTGGCCTAGTTATTTACGTGATTGCTGCAAGAATAGCAATTGATCTTATAGGCTCTTTTAAATTTGCTGTGCTGGAACTTGTATAAGGAGTCTCCAGAATGAACTTTTAACAGCCTCTTGAGGCTAAAAAGTCAAGCCAAATATTCTGCCTGCAACACCTGTAGATATGGGTGAATTCCTCTCTTCTTGAGGCTTCCAACATATCTTAAAGTTCTTGCACCTGCCAGAAAGTGATCTTCTTTATTCACCTGGTTAGGTTGTAGAGAAGCCTGTAAGTAAGGTACCAGGCTGTTCTTACAAGGGACTTTATTGGCTTCATGGAATAAACCATATCCTTAAAGCTGTTTTGTCATATCTTAGTTTATACATGTCCCTCTCAAATATGATATTCCAGTCAAAGCATTGGTGAAATAACCAACGTTTCTAATTATGTTCCTGTTCCAGTTCCAACAACTCCTCATTAGTCAATTCTTCAGAACTACTTCTAGGAACTACTCAATGTCATCCTCATCTACACCCAAGTTAAAGCTATTTTCCAACTAAACCACAGCCTTGTTGATTTTTGCAACCTCTTCATCTTTGGTAAATCCTTTGAAGTCATGGATGAACATCTTGAGTGTCTTCTTCCAGATGCCATTCATACACTTCTTGGTGACATCACCCCAAGTCCAGCAACATTCTTGATGCAGTCATAGATGCTGTAATCCTTCCAGAATTGCATCAGTATCTTCTCAGTTGCAACAATAGCCTGGGCAAAAGTCTTCCTCAGGTAGTAAGTCTTAAAAGCTGCTATAACTCCTTGGACCATTGGTTGGATTGAAGAGGTGATGTTTGGAGGGAGAAACACAAGCTTGATATTGGGATGAAGATCACCAGTAAAAGGAGTCTACCCAGGAGCATTATCAACAATAAGCAAAATCTTGAAAGGTTCTCCAAACGGTACTTCTCCATTTCACCAGCACAGTAATTCAGGAGGGCATCTTTGAAGAGGAGCTGAGTCACCCATGATTTCTTATTGCTCTGTGGTATACTGGCTGTGTGTGCTTATTGAGATTCTCGAAGGCCCTGGGGTTCTCACTGTGCCCGATCACAAAGGGTTTCAATTTGTAGGTTGCAACATTGCCCCCAACCAAGACCATTATCCTGTCCTTAAAGCCTTGAAACCTGGCATTGACTTAGCCTCCTTAAGAAAGAAGGTATTTTCAGGCATCTGTTTCTAGAATAGAGAGGTTTCATTCATATTAAATATTTGTTCTGGCAAGTAATTTTCCTCCATCATCAGTTTATCCAGAGTTTCCAAAAATTCTTCAGCTGCCTTCACATCAGCCTTCACCTGCAGACTCATCAAACTTTTTTACATTATGTAATGAATAATGATTCTTGAATCATTTAAACTACCCAGAGCTAGCAGTAAATTCACCATTGTAGTCAGGCCTAGCCTTTCCTTTCAACATCACACACATTTTTGCTTTGTCCATGATCATCACGGTGCTGAGAGGGATACACTTCTGTGTCTGGTCTTCAATCCAGGTCATTAGAAGTTTCTCCATGTCTGATATAGGCCCTTCTTAAATTTTTCTTAGTCTCATTTTCTTCTTTGAAGCAGATTATTTAACAGCTGTCACTTTGTTCTTGTTCTT